AGACATGAGAAAAGGCTCCCACAAGGATGGTAAAACTTCAAACATCCGTGGGTCCTCTGGGCAACATCCTTGCAGACAGCCAATTTTCTCACACCAGAAACGACTTGCAGTTTCTCAAGTCACTTCTGACATGAAAAAAAAATCTCATCGAAATATTTTCATCTTACACAACTGGTTTTGTTTGACTTGTCCCGTGAAGTGTTTTTGTGCAATTATTTATCACAACTGAACTGCTTCATGGAGACCAAAGTGGGTTTTCCCCCCTCCTTCCTGTTGGCAATGGGACAAAATATCTTGCCTATCACTGGTATTTATCCAATAAGGATACAACCTTTTTTGGTAATGACATCAATTTAATGAGATGTTTTCCTCCAACTATTTACCTAAGTCCCAATAGCTGGTTAGTGATGCATGCTCTTTGACTTATTAATATTATGTACTTATTACTTAGACTCCAAATCTGGGAATCTGTTGATTTAACATAGTGACATGATTTATGCAACACAATATAAACAAAAAGAAAGATGCAATTTCTCTTTTCCTCTGCTACTTTAACCACTAGCCCTTTGTTACAATTCTGTTCTTCCATTTCAGAGTTTAATAATCTGTGTGTACATATAAAAACCAAGCATCCAATAATAATGTTACACTTTACAGTAGTACTCAGATAAATACTATTTTCTTTGAATATCTGGAAAATGTTTTGGTAGATCTTTACTGATGAGTCCATCATTATCAAGCAACCAATAAACTCTTATCTTAGGGATGGATCCTATGAATCCTGGGGAAATCTTTTAACTAGATACAGACGAATCAAACAATGTACTTCACAACATTTATCACTATGCCCTTGTCAACTGCATCTGTTGCTTTGTTTTGACTTCTCCCCCATCCAGGTTTGCTTCAGTTGTTAAAATTGTCAGAATATATACAAGGTAGAAAATTTAGTGTTACATGACACTTTATATAACTGGTTGCAATTCTGTTGTTGCGGTGAATCATGGTTCATCTCTCACTGCAGCATATAACCTTTCAAATTCGGGGTTTGGGGGAAGAGGGAGCGACAACACCTACTAAAAATGTTATTTCTGCATGGATGCTTACCGCCATTTCATCAACTATATTTTGAGGAACAATGCTCGAGACAGACACCCTGGTAACCCACCCATTACTCTAAGCTACTGTGTTAAAAGACAACTGACAAAAAGCTATGTTCTTACTATTTGTGCCTTCCTGCTTTGAGAAACAATCTATGACAGAATAGAAGAAACAATGATGCCTAATTTTAAGGAATTTCAGCTTGAATACAAATCATAGAATCATAGAGTTGGAAGAGACCTCGTGGGCCATCTAGTCCAACTCCCTGTCAAGAAGCAAGAAAATCACATTCAAAGCACCCCCAATAGTCCAGCCTCTGTTTAAAAGCCTCAAAAGAAGGAGCCTCCACCATATTCCAGGGCAGAGAGTTCCCCTGCTGAACAGCTTTCACAGTGAGGAAGGTCTACCTAATGTTCAGGTAGAATCTCCTTGCCTGTAGTTTGAAGCCATTGTTCTGCATCCTAGTCTCCAGGGCAGCAGAAAACAAGCCTGCACCCGCCTCCCTATGACTTCCCCTCAAATATTTATACATGGCTCTCATTATTTTTTATTATTTATTTACTGTATTTGTATACCGCCTTTTTCAGCCTTTCAATGACTCAAGGTGGCAGGCGGATGTAGTAAGCCACAGCCAGGAGACAGGTGTTTTTAAAGTCTCTTTCTCAGTCCCCTTCCTCCTTTTAGCTGGCTTGGGAGGGGGAGAGTAGCAGCAGGATTTCCTCCTTCTCCTCCTTAGGTGGCAGGCAGATGTAGTCTCCTCTCAGCCTTCTCTTTTGCAGGCTAAAAATGCCCAGCTCTTTACGCCATTCCTCATAGGGCTTGTTCTCCAGACCCTTGATCATTTTAGTCATCCTCCTCTGGACACATTCCAGCTTGTCAACATTTCCCTTCAACTGCGGTACCCAGAACTGGACACAGTATTCCAGGTGTAGAATGACTTCCCTGGATCTAGATATTAGACTCCTATTTATGCAGGCAAAAAGGCCACTGGCTTTTTTGCCCTTGCATTTATTTCTACCATTTCAACCCCGTCCTTCTCAGAGACTCAGGACAGCTTACACTCGGCAACAATTCGATGCCGCAACATACAGACAAATACAACAATATAACAACAATTTAAAGCAACAGATAGAACATTAAATTAAAAGTATATTAAAAGAATTATTGTGAAACCATATAGCCATTTTCAGTTCAATTCCACATCCAAAGTGCTGTTATGCCTGCTGTCCAAAAGCCTGACATTGTTGGCTCATATTTAACTTGCTGTCCACAAGGACTCCAAGATCTTTTTCACATATACTGCTGTTGAGCCAGGCATCCCCCATTCTGTATCTTTACATTTCACTTTTTCTGCCTAAGTTGGAGTATCTTGCATTTCTCCAATCTCTCTAATCCATTAAGATCATTTTGAATTCTGGCCTGTCTTCTGGAGTATTGACTATCCCTCCCAATTTGGTGTCGTTTGCAAACTTGATGATCATGCCTTCTAATGATTGTTCTATGAACACAAACCCACCTTTCGCTAAGCAAAATAAATCCATTTTTCGTTAGTAAAATGGACATTGATATGACTGGTTGAATAAGATGTATAAAAAGGAAATACGTACATTCACTTAGTACAATATGGGTTGCAACTCTTGTCAAATACAAAGTCTGGCTCTAGTCTTGGTTAGCAGTTTTATTCGCTAACTCACAAATATTTGCTAAGGGGATTATATTCATAAGTTTCCACCAACAAAAGTTGAAGGTGCAATTTGTTCATTATTTTGAAGGCATTACTAGACAACCTTATGGTTGAAGATGATATTTGTTTGTTTCTCATATGACTCTCCCCATGTATTGAGGGAGAGAACAACAGATCAAAATACAATTCATCATATCAGTTAAATCACATAACATCAGTTTACGAGAGCATATGAAATGAATATATATCAAAGCAGTTGGTTCAAAATTCATAATTTAAAAATCATCTCCATAGATGTGCAAGAAGATATTGGTTTTTAATGCTATTTTAAATTCAGCTGACAACCCTCTTCTGGCAGGTCATTTCACAGTCTAGGGGTGGCTGAAGAAAAAGGTCTCTGGCTGCAAATTTTCCCCAGAGGACCTGAATGTATGGGGTGGATTATATGGGAAGAAGCAATCCTGTGGGCCAGAGCTCTCAAAACTGTGAGTCACAACATGCCAGTGAGTAGGTGTGTTGCACAAAGGTAATGAGAAACCTCCAAGTGTATATGAAATAAGCAATACGTCATTTTTTTTAAAAAAAAATGAATATCTCCATAGTAAAGGTTGACATTAAGTCTACTCATGTGCAACTCTGGGTGGCAGTGGTCATCTTCATTTCTAAGCTGAAGAGCCAGTATTGTCCACAGAAGCCTCCAAGGTCATATGGCCAGCATGACTGCATGGAGAGCCATTACCTTCCCACGAAAGCGTGTCCAAACAATGTGATGTGGCGGCAAAAAAGGCCAATAGGATTTTGGCCTGCATTAATAGGAGCATAGTGTCTAGATCTAGGGAAGTAATACTACCCCTCTATTCTGCTCTGGTTAGACCACACCTGGAATATTGTGTCCAATTCTGGGCACCACAATTCAAGAGAGATATTGACAAGCTGGAATGTGTCCAGAGGAGGGCGACTAAATGATCAAGGGTCTGGAGAACAAGCCCTATGAGGAGTGGCTTAAGGAGCTGGGCATGTTTAGCCTGAAGAAGAGAAGGCTGAGAGGAGATATGATAGCCATGTATAAATATGTGAGAGGAAGCCACAGGGAGGAGGGAGCAAGCTTGTTTTCTGCTTCCTTGGAGACTAGGACGCGGAACAATGGCTTCAAACTACAAGAAAGGAGATTCCATCTGAACATGAGGAAGAACTTCCTGACTGTGAGAGCCGTTCAGCAGTGGAACTCTCTGCCCCGGAGTGTGGTGGAGGCTCCTTCTTTGGAAGCTTTTAAACAGGGGCTGGATAGCCATCTGTCAGGGGTGATTTGAATGCAATATTCCTGCTTCTTGGCAGGGGTTGGACTCGATGGCCCATGAGGTCTCTTCCAATTCTTTGATTCTATGATTCTATGGTATGTATTGATCTACTCACATTTGCATGTTTTCAAACTGCTAGGTTGCCAGAAGCTGAGCTCCTTAACAGCGGGCGCTCACCCCACTCCCAGGATTCGAACCGTCAACCTTTTGTTCAGCAAGGCTAAGCACATTTAAATCAAAAGGCAGCAATGGAGAAACTTTTAGGAAGGTTTGCATGATGCATTTTGTATGCTGATAATCCCATTAACTGCTAAATTTCAGGGCATTGTCCATAGATGCCTCCAAGGTCATGTGGCCAGCATGACTGCATGGAGTGCCGTTACCTTCCCGCCTAAATGGTACCTATTGATCTAATCACATTTGCTTGTTTCCGAACTGCTAGGTTGGCAGAAGCTGGGGCTAACAATGGGAGCTCACTCCATCCTGCAGATGTGAAATTCCAACCTTCCAGTCAACAAGTTCTGCAGCTTAGCGGTTTAACCCGCGGCACCATCACAGCTTCTTAATGTATCTCCATACGTATCATTATTACAATTTATATATATGTCCAAATCTCTTATAAGGAGTTGGATTAACCTCTTGTTTCTTACTTAAACTGAATTACTGTGTTGTGAAATGATGTGTGTCTAAAAAGTGTGTTGCCAGCATTAAATGTTTGGAAAGCTCTCCTGCAGGTAATCTGAACCCAAACCATGTAGGGCTTTAAAGGTAACAAAGAGCACTTTGCACTTGCCCAGAAACTAACTGGCAGCCAGTGGAGAGATTTTAATGTTGCATTATTAATACTGGTATTATCAAAAAGAAGTTGTGCATTCCTGCAAATTTTCGTCACTTTCCTGTTAACAATAAAGGCATCTCACCTAGTTCAGGAGGCAGCACAGTAAGACGGTTCCCTTGAATATGGAGTTCTTTAAGCTGCGTGAGTTCACCAATCTCTTTGGGGAGTGATATAAGGTCATTATCCCGAAGACTGAGCTTTAAAACACAACAAAAAAAGGAAAGACAGAAATGCACAATGTTATTAGAACCAATTCTATCAATACATATCTCACCTACAGTCTAGGTGAGACTGATTCTTTCTGCCACTTTATCCCACCCTAAACATTCAATTCACCCAATCTAACTACAAGTGTGTGCTGATTAACAATAGGCAATACCAGGTGTAGAAGCTTATTCCTCCAAAACCCCCACGACTTTGTGCAAATTGACTTGATTTCTACTCTTACAAGGGCTGCAAAAGGGAATTGATTCCCCCCTCCCTGCCTGAAGAATTTAGATAAATTACTTACTATCTGCAACTTTGTGAGCTTCCCAATATCTGGTGGCAGGATTTCAAAATCGTTGTCACTTAGATAGAGTGCACGCAGGGTGGCTGCAAATTAAACAGCAATATATAAACAGAGTGGCATACAACCCAACCGTTTGAGGCCTGATCAATAAAGTAGTGTCAGGTTTGATTAATAACCCTGACATGGTGAAAAGCCTTTGACATACCCAAGGCTCACAATAATAACAAGCAGGTCAAACCTAGATTTACTGGCTTATTGTAGTGTTGGGTCTGTTCAGGAAAACATCTATATCCAACAAGACTGACACAATTAACAATTCCTATGACATTACACCCGATCAAGGAGCAACACACAACTTCAATAGAAGCCTGCTGAACAGAAGCTAATACATTTATTACTTCCAGCTCCTAGTCATTATCTTATTTTGCATTTATAAGCCTCATGCATCCACATAGTGCGTCCCTGTACACCAGTGTTTCGCAATCTTCCTAATGCTGTGACCCCATAATATAGTTCCTCATGTTGTGGTGACCCCCAACCATAAAAATATTTTTGTTGCTTCTTCATAACTGTAATTTTGCTACTGTTGTGAATCATAATGTAAATATCAGATATTGAAGATGTATTTTCATTCACTGGACCAAATTTTGCACAAATACCCGATACACCCAAATTTGAATATTGATGGGGTTGGGTAGGATTGATTTTGTCATTTGAGAGTTGTAGTTGCTGGGATTTATAGTTAACCTACAATCAAAGAGCATTCTGAACTCGACCAACAATTGAATTGACCCAAACTTAGCACATAGAACTCCCGTGACCAACAGAAAATACTGGAAGGGTTTGGTGGGCACTGACCTTGAGTTTTGGAGTTGTAGTTCACCTACATCCAGAGTGCACTGTGAGCATGCTAGGTACCATTATGTTCTGTAATGCATGCTTCCAACATGGTACCCCTTCAGAGAGATGCCATGTAGAGGAATAGGTAAGGAATGTAAAGGATTGCATACTTATTGCCAAGAGATAACTGGTGTAACCCATGATAGGGGTCAGAACTTGAAGGCATAAATATGTTTTGGCCCCTGTAGTAGACTGAATATTCATTTATACAATTAAATATCAAGCATGGCTTAATTGTCAGCATTTCTTTCCCCTAATGGCGTGACCTGCTTAACAGTCTTAGGGGACTGCAGCATTTGCTGAAGTGTTAGCTCAGTGCAACACTGAATAAAAATCAAGAATATATGACCAAAGCAGCAGCTCGTACAACACCCCCAGCCATCCACTTACTCCTACCAATATCAGGTGACTGTAGATCAAAAGATACAGACTTCCAAGCTATGCAGAAATATTCAAGGCATAGGAGGAGGCATACATTTCAGACATACTTTTTAGAGTTCAGCCTCTCCCAAATATATTTCACCTGTAGAAAGCATAACAACTTTTCAGGATGCTTTAATGTTTTTTTTTCTTTTAAAAGCAAACCATTGCTTACTTAGATAGAAGAAGTTTCCAGGCAGGGAGTTTTCATTTAAGTTATTGTAAGTCAAATCCAGAACCTCCAGAGCTGGTAAGGAGCCAAATCCTCGTGGCAAGGAGTTGAGCCTGTTCATCCTAATAATAAAAGAATATTGTAAAATTAGTGTTAYTTGGGATAAYGGGGTAGTAATAAGTTCCTTCAAAATAAATATGGTCTATCCTGATTTTCAGATTCACACAGGCTGCCCACTTGGCTGTGCTTTGCTTAGATGTTGCACGGCAAGACAAGTCAACCTCAAAATAATCTAAAAAGCAAAAAAAAAAAAAAAAAGGAAAACAGCAACAATACAAATAATGTAAGAATCCATCTATATAAAAGTCAAACAATGTATGTATGTATACACCACAATGGTTTTGAACTGTGGTGGTGGAGGAAAATTCTGAGAGTGCCTTGGATTGTGAGAAGATCTAACCTGTCCATGCCCCAGGAAATAAAGCCCGACTGCTCATTGGAGGGAAGGATATTAGAGGCAAAGATGAAGTACTTTGGCCACATAATGAGAAGACAGGAAAGCTTGGAGAAGACAATGATGCTGGGGAAAATGGAAGGAAAAAGGAAGAGGGGCCGACCAAGGACAAGATGGATGGATGATATCCTTAAAGTGACTGGCTTGACCTTAAAGGAGCTGAGGGTGGTGATGGCCAACAGGGAGCTCTGGTGTGGGCTGGTCCATGAGGTCACAAAGAGTCAGAAGTGACTGAATGAATAAACAACAACAAAACCACAATGGTTGTTGCTATGTGAAGCGGCCCTCTGTGATATCACTGGATTGGTTGATGCTAGGTGAAGTGGCCCTCTGTAATGCCACTGGGAAAGCAAGGTGACATGTGTATGAGAAGAAGGAAGGAGAAAAATACAGGAAAGAAAGGAAAGGAGATGGAGAAAGAAAACGTATCCAAAGAAGTGTTTTCACTCCTTGATCATTGCAGGAGAACACCATCCCATGATGCTTGAGGTTCCTTTATTATGTGTAACATCATAAATGCACTAAGGTGGCATTAAGGAAGCAACATGGTGATAGCACTGCTCAGTGATGAAGATGGGTAGGAGAGAGGAAACAGCAGCTAACTGAATGAATATTTCATCTTTACTTATTGCCAAAGTTAAGGAGATCTGAAAAATATGCAGTTTTCATAACAGGCTTTATCTGTACGGTAGTGTTAGGAGAATTTATATGATTCACTCTAACCAATTTTACAGAGATATTAACATTAAAGTGAGAGGAAGATATACATGCTAAGATCCAAAGAACTGTGCAATTAGTTCTATATATCTTTTCAGCTTCTATTTGTTGAAAACCCATCCACCATGACACATGCCATCTTGGATTCCAGCCATGTTAAATTGCTCTGAATCTTTTGGACAGCATAAGAAATACACTTAGGGTGAGAAAAAAAGAAACAACATGATGTTTAAGCACAGAGCTTTGAAAAGGTACTTTTTTGGACGAAAAATCCCAGAATCCTACCATCAGTATAAACTAGGAGCTGGGGATTCTGTACGTCAGTGGTTCTCAACCGTCCTAATACCACAACCCCTACATACAGTTCCTCATGTTGTGGTGACCCCCAATCATAAAACTATTTTCGTTGCTACTTCATAACTGTAATTTTGCTACTGTTATGAATCGTAATGTAAATATCTGATATGCTCTGGGAAGCCCTGGCCCTTGATTGCTCTAGCTGGTTGTCAGCTGTGACCAGCAGTGCTGCAGAATTTGAAGAGGCATGAATGGAGGGTGAAAGAGAAAAACGTGCCAAGAGGAAGCCGCGTCAAGCCAACCCTGATCGAGACCGCCTTCCACCTGGAAACCAATGCCCTCACTGCGGAAGAAGATGTAGAGTTGCACATGACTCACAAGAATTCTGATCCTGGAAGACTATCCTACTAGGCCAACGAGGGATCGCCTAAGTAAGTAAGTAAGTAAGATCTGATATGCAGGCTATATTTTCATTCACTGGCCCAAGTTTGGCACAAATACCAGATACACCCAAATACTGGTGGGCTTGGGAGGGTATTGATTTTGTCATTTAGGAGTTGTAGTTGCTGGGATTTATAGTTCACCTTCAATCAAAGAGCATTCTGAACTCCACCCATGATGGAATTGAACCAGACTTGGCCCACAGAATTCCCCTGACCAATAGAAAATAGTAGAAGGGTTTGGTGGGCATTGGCCTTGAGTTTTGGACTTGTAGTTCACCTACATCCACAGACCACTGTGGATTCAAACAATGATGGATCTGGACCAAACTTGGCATGAATACTCAATATGCTCAAATGTGAACACAGGTTGAGCTTGGGGGAAATAGACTTGATATTTGGGAGTTGTAGTTGCTGGGATTTATAGGTCAGCTACAATCAAAGAGCATTCTGAACCCCACCAATGAGATAATTGGGCCAAACTTCCCACACAGAACCCTCATGAACAACAGAAAATACTGTGTTTTCAGATGATCTTTGGCAACCCCTCATGACCCCTCCCAGGGGTCCCAACCCCCAGGTTGAGAAACACTGCTGTACGTGGTACTTTACAAACATAATTTTGGATTTGCATTTGGTCTGTAAGCAGAATGAATGTACCTCTCCACCACCTACTTATTGAATGATACTAGAAAACCAATATACAACCCTTCCTGCCTCCAAAATGTACCAATAATCCAGCGTCCTTCAAGTATGGAGGGGATATATAATGTAGTAATTCACACTGCCATTCTTGTTGTCCTATATAAGGGCTCCATTCTTTCTGTAAGGATCACATCTATAACAGCCGTGAATGCAAAACAGGACGAATATTTGAGCACAAATGAATGGAAAGCGGGCAAAGCTGAAATTTTTTTGCTGTCGTGCCACTACGCTGCTGTTCAAACTTAAAGAATTAGAAAACTGTGTGGGAAAAGGGCAAAACAACAGGGAGGAAAACCCAAATACTTAATTTCTGTTCTATTTCCATTTTTTTTGTAATGGTAGCACATACTTCCAAAACACCTCTGGAAGACACTGGCTTGAGGCAAGGCTGCAAGAGCAAATTTGTAGTGTTATGACAGATAATATACTTCTGCTTTCACGCCAGCACAAAAGGTCAGAGGCTCCGCCACTTGTGAAAAATGGGCTTCCCCCCCTGTTTCTGAATTTATTTGAGCAATGAGAGAGAACATGACTGACCAGTAGAGAAGCATTCTTGAACAAACAAAGGAAAGCAGAGTTTGTAGAAAGCTACCTTTTAAGGTCAGAGCTTCCAGCATCCTCCAGCCCACCAGGACTGTTGTGGGGCCTTCAGGATTTAAACTCTGCTAGAAAACAAGATTTTTTCAGGGGTTCTCCAGAAAGCATATACAACAGGCCAGAACTGTTACGCACCCAAGGTTCAAGTGTTTCAGCTTCTGCAGGCTGCTGATCTGAGTTGGTAGCTCTTCAATTTGATTGTTGAAAAAGTTAAGTACCTCTAAATTCCTCAGGTCTGCAACATTTGGAGGCACAGCTGTAAAGAGAAAGGCGATACTCTCACAAACAAGTTAAGGGTACACAAAGCATATCACATGGATTTTTGGGGACTACGAAGGTCTACAAAAGGAATTAGAAATTGTTAGGGTATTTTTTGTGTCAGGAGCAATTTGAGAAACTGCAAGTCGCTTCTGATGTGTGAGAACTGGCCATCTGCAAGGATGTTGCCCAGGGAATGTCCGGATGTTTGATGTTTTATCATCCTTGTGGAAGGCTTCTCTAACATCCCCGCATTGGGAGCTTAACCTACTCTTCCCAGATTTGAACCTCTGACCTATTGGTCAGCAGTCCTGCGGCACAAGGGTAGAAAGGCGAATTAAATAATAGTTTAAAATGTTAATGGTTAAAAATACAGCACACCTCTCACTGGAAAACTAGCATGGAGTAATAGACTACAGCTCTAGAGACCAGGATTTGAAAAATCCATAGAAACCCATAGGGTGGTTTTGAGCAAGGCACATTCTTTTAGCCTCAGAAGAAAGCAAAACATAACTCTTTCTGAACAAATTCTGCCAAGAAAACCCTGTGACAGATTTGGGACCACCATAAGCTAGAAACAACTTGAAAGCACATAACAACATCTCTTATTGACAGACCCCAACAAATAGTGGCTTCTAACAATCCGCTGCCTGGATTTATCCTTGACCTGGAAAAACAATTCTTGTGCTTTGATGTAACAAAAGGCTAGATCCAGTTGTGAGTTCCAACTAGAGGAAACCCATTAAATCAATAAAGCTTATGTAAGTGTTTACTTACTATGTTTCCACTTATGCTGTTGATCTAGTGCAGTTGGAACTAACGATTGGTTAGGCTTATGTCTACATCAGTGGTTCCCAACCTTTGGTTCTCTGCGTGTTTTGGACTTTAGTTCATACAATTCCTAATAGCTAGTAAGCTGGCTGGGATTCCTGGGAGTTGAAGTCTAAAACAACTGGAGGAACAAAAGTTGGGAACTACTGGTCTACATATACAGGTATTCATGTATCAGAACCCCTTTTGGATCCAAAATCTGTGGATGCTCAACTCCCACTATACACAATGGTGTTCCTTATATAAAATGGCAAAATCAAGACGTCCTTTTTGAATATTTTTCAGCTGTGGACCCAGAGGGCCAATTCTATTTGCAAAGTGGTGTAAGGAATCTGGTATCAAGCAACACAACAGAGTGGTCAGAAAAGTGGGTCAGTGCTAAGCAACAGGAAATACTGGACCTTCATCCTGTTGAACCCTTGGATAACCCCCAAACCTTTACCAGTTGTGCCACCTCTTCATGCCAGATGACAAGCATGATCACTGTAGTTACGCAAATGTTCTTAAAAGTTCAATCCAGGGAGCTGCAACACATTTGTGTGTGAGTTGGCAGGTTGTGGTGTATGTGAAATGCATATGTAGCCATGTCAAATAACTGTAGAGTTCAACAGAAGTGGACACAGTACTGCAGGAGGTGTCTAACTAAAGTTCTAAATGCCTGGAGATATCTTCACCGCAGAACAACTCTGACTTTCAATAACCTTTTCCTAATATTTATCTGGAATTCTCTTCCTTGTGATTTGAAGTTACTGGTTTGTAGCTTATACTCTGGAGCAACAGAAAACAAGGTTTCTCCAGGTTCCATGCAACAGTTCCTCGTATATTTGAAGGTGGCTTTCATATCACCTCTGTTCTCCAGACTAAACACACCCAGCTCACTCAATCATTCTTCATAGGACTTAGTTTCCAGGGCTTTTACCATCTGGTTCAGATGTTGAAGGGGGAATAAGGGGGGTTTAGAGAGATTGTCTTGGATTAATAATGCCACCAAATCCCCTGCAAAAGCATTTAAAGGGTCTTTCTACATGGTCTAGGGACTCAAAGTGTCTTTGGCTGGTTGAGGAGCCCATTAGGAGCTGGAAACATATATGACCTGTGGACCACACATTCCCCACTGGAATCCAGTTTTGCATTGCTGGATGACTACCTGGCTTTGAGTCTTACTCAGCTGTCACCTAGAAGCAGCTGCCTGCTTTATCAGGCTACCTGAACTGTTTTCATGCCAGCTGGCTGATTTGTAGAACTAATGCTTTTCCCCTTGTGTTTTCACTTTCAGACAGAGTGACTCTATAGGACAGAACTGCTTTGCACTGTTGTCTAAGTAATTCGATGTTATAATAATATAAAATTTAAATTCATAGTTATTTGAATTTCACCGAGGTTAAGTACATTGAGAGTGTAATATTTGGCAGACATTTTCAATAATCATTTAATTTTAAAAATAGTACATGATAGTCAAATTATGCTCAACTATAAATAATAAACTGCTAAAAGGAACCAATTTTTGATTCACATCCCAGAAGGAAAGGGCTATTACCAATATAAGCAAAAAAAAATTACATCAGATTAGCAACAGATCAATGTGTGCCTATTTTCAATAAATACAAAAAAAGCCTGCCTGCATGATATGAATGCTACTATTTCGATAAAGATTAAGAAACAGTATGGGTTTAATTTTCTCTTTCAGTTGCTCCAGCAAAATCTAAGCAAGCAAGTAATATTCATGTGTTGTGAACTGCATATATTCAAGCTTTTGACTGTATTGTCACCGCAGGAAACAGCACTATCTTTTAACTTGATCCCTAAGCCACTTAAAACCAAATCCCTAAAATGTATGCTCATTTAGTGATGTCGAAATATTTAGGAATAATTGGTTTGTAGCCTTTATTTCAATTGAGTGAGATCATAAATCAAATCGCCTAACAGCATTGTAGATTAAGCAACTGCATATTTAAAATTTCGGCAGTAAATACAGTTGGATAATTTCTGAAGCTGGCCTTTGAGAGAAGATACCTTCTAGCGTAAGAGTGGATCTCTTCCAATGCCTTTAAACCACATGGGAAAAATATATAGTAGAATACAAGTACAACCAGTCCTTTACATTTGTAGGGGGTTGAGGGCACACAATCTCTGTGAAAGTGGGGCATGGGGAAAACAATATAGACTTGCTTTTTTTAAAAAAAAACCTGAGAAATCACTTCTCTGGGCATGTATAGGTTTTTAGTGCGATTTTATGGTTAATGTCCAGTGAAAGTTGACTATATAATCACACTGGAGGACCAACATATGCCTAGAGAGTGTGGAATAGTGATAGAAGCAGTGGCAAATGCAGTAATCTGCGAATAATAAAATCTGCAAATATTCAATATATTGTCGAAGGCTTTCATGGCCGGAATCACTGGGTTGTTGTAGGTTTTTTTGGACTATATGGCCATGGTCTAGAGGAATTCTCTCCTGACGTTTCGCCTGCATCTATGGCAAGCATCCTCATTACCTCATAAAGGCCAGGATCCAATTATTTCCTTAGTAAACATGAAACTGGGAAGTCAGCATTTCCTCCCCACTATGGCCTTTGTGCCCTGTAAAGTAGTGGTAGGGTAGTGTAGAAAAGACTGAAAAGCCACAACATGAATTGCAGAACTGAAAAGTCACTGCATAAAACGTTTGGATTAAGTTAGGAAATATTCCATTTATGGCAGTGGTTCCCAACCTTTTTTTGACCAGGGACCACTTTGACCAGGTACTACTCTCCAACATTAGTACCGAAAGGGTTACAAACCAGTTTTTGGTCAACTTTAGATTTGGTTTGGGATGATTCAGAAAATTGCACTGGATAGACCACATCAGCTCTAGTTTCCGATACTGAACATATGCCATGGTCAGCAACAGGGAAGGAGTGGCAGGTGGTGTGAAAGGAGCGGTAATAAATAAAATAAAATAAAGAGGAAGAAGGTTCATGGACCAGATTTTCATCCATGAAGCCCACTAGTGGTCCGCGGCCCACAAGTTAAGAACCACTGATTTATGGGATGAAAGCAATTAGCAAATATTGCAACCAAAGTACAGTTAATCCTCCATGCTGAGGTTTTAACTTTTGCAGATTTGATTATTCATGGATTTGATTAAAAATATTCTTTCTCAGAATTTCTAGGTCCTCCAGTGTGACCCTAAGGTCAAATTTCTCCAGTCATGCTGAATGACCTAGACATTTTTTGAAGAAACATATCTCTAGGAATCTCTAGGACTTCTAATGCAATTCTATGGTCAACTTCCATAGGTTTTGTGTTAGGAGACCTAGAAATTCCTAGGGAGGTGTTCCCTAAGATTAAAAATAATAGCAATTTCTGAACCTGTGCTTGTTCTTGCTCACAGAAGTCCTGTGCTCCTAACCGCAGCAAATGCGGAGGCTGACTGCAAAATCTACTGCAACTAGAGATGAAAACACACTGATTCAGAGTTTTTAAAAAGTATATCATATGCCCACTCCCCAAAATGTATTGTTTGCCAAAAATTTAGAAAGATGTGATTTCAGAATGAGAAATAAATTAAGATAAAGGCATAAACCCAATTACTAATTCCAACCAGACAGGATTCACTGCAGCAGTGGATAGCCACTCTCACCACCTATCTACCTTTCCACCAATCCTAGGATTCAAGGCAGCTTAAAAAGTTAAAATGGTACAGTTAAAAGTTCAAAATTAAAATGTAATTGAAATATCAATAGCATGTCCATTAAAGAAAAAGAAAAACAACAAAGCTACAACACATCATCACAAGTCCTTTCCCCAATGAGCAATCAAGTCTCCAAAGGCCTGCCAATACTAAAAGGTCTTCACTTGCCTATGGAAGGATATCAAAGAGGGGTATCCTCTTCAGGAACAGAGTGTAAATGTTGATTTGCCATTCTAACTGCAATGAGTAATTGGATTTCAGCCAGAATCTCTTTATATATTGCTGCATGGCCTTTTGTTCCCCCTAAATGATTTCGAAGCAAACGTAAGACTTTTCCTAGAAAAGAACTTTTAAATGTTACTGAACATCTTTAGATCCAGGAATGCAGCCTGGGATTCTGCCAAACATATTCCTCCACAACATGATGTGCAAGGTCTTGCGAAGACCGCATTTTCTAACTCTCTCCCCCCCCCCCCCCCCCCCCCCCCATGCTTG